GTTGACTCTACAGGGGAGCAAAGAGTCTTTATATAGCAACGGAGGTCCAGTCAGCGAACAATCCCCACAAAATTACACAGAAAACAAACCAGAATTTTTTACTTGACCTCAAGTTGAAGGGAGGTACTCACAGAGATTGATGGTTCCTGTGGGTGACTCTACAGGGGAGAGCAAGGGGTCTTTATATAGCCAAGGGAGGTCCAGTCAGTAACAATCCCCCAAAATTACACAGAAAACAACAGCAGAATTTTCTTACTTGACCTCAAATTGAAGGGAGGTACTCACAGAGATTGATGGCTCCTGTGGGTGACTCTACAGGGGAGGGCAAGGAGGCCTTTATATAGACAAAGGAGTTGCAGTCAGTAGAAAATCCCCCAAAATCACACAGAAACTAATGCAGAATTGACCACTTGACCTCAAGGTGAAGGGGGTGTACTCACTGAGATTGATGGTTCCTGTGGGTGACTCTACAGGGGAGACAAGGGGGGCTTTATATAACCAGGGGAACCTCAAGTTGAAGGGAGGTACTCACAGAGATTGATGGTCCCTGTGGGTGACCCTACAGGGGTGAACAAGGAGGTCTTTATATAGCCAAGGGATGTCCAGTCAGCAACAAATCCTCCAAAATTACACAGAAAAAAAACCAGAATTTATCACTTGACCGACAAATCCTCCAAAATTACCAACAAACAATAACAGAATTCATCACTTGACCACAAGCTGAAAGGAGGTACTCACCAAGTTGGATGTTTCCTCAGGATGACACTACAGGGGAAAACCAGAGAAGCCCAGTCAGGGGCAATTTACAGCCAGATTTCACCCTTGACCTAGTGATGAAAGGAGGTACTTACCAAAGGTGAGATTTGGTATTGACAAATCAAGCGCAGAAAGGTGGCCCTTATATAGACAACAGAGCCCAATGAAACCAAATCAGAATTTGTCACGTGACCTCAAGATGAAGGGAGTTACTCTCTTCTTTTTCCCTTTGGGTGACTATCAATAAAAGCACAACAGTTGAGGAGAGGCCCTGAAACACAAAAGACCTTGATAGCCGGAGGCAGTATCTGAAGATGGACCTATTTATAGAGCACAGAAGGCAAGTGAGCATCAATTCCACAGAAATCATGTGAAATAAAACCAGAATTTTCTCCTTGACCTCCAGCTCAAAAGAGGTACTCACTCGCTCAGATTATACAGGAGAGAAAGACAGGGCCCACGGGCCATTATCAAAAAACACAAGTGAAGTCACAGGGGACCAAAGAGGTCATTTCATAAAGCAAACAAACCAAGTCAGCAACAGCACTTCCAAGTCCAAAGCAATCAATAAAGAAGTTCCCCCATGACCTCAAGGTGGAGGGAGGTACTCAACAAGATTTTCCTTTCCTGTATGTCACACCAATTTTGAAATTAAGTGATAAGTAATCACATTGTCCACCTTTACCTCACTATGGAAGGGGGCACTCACTGAGCTTCAAGTATGAGGGTGGCACTTCAAGTGGGTGGAAAAGAGATTCTATCCATTTACAGATAAAGCAAGTGTACCAGACCTGGGAGTCAACAAAGTTAACCCAGGTTGACATGATGACAGCTATTACTCACTGAGAATGCAGTCTGTAGTAGGTCACAATTTATTTGTAAACAACAAAGTCGCACACCGCCCAAAAGAAAGTACCAACTGAACAGACACCTCTCAAACCCAAATAATTACTACTAACAACACCAGACCAACAGACACAATATTCTACAGAAAATAAAAGGAAGATATATGCAGAAATGTGCCAAAATGATACAAACCACCCAGTTCATTAGCCTGATAATCCTCACATGCCATGGTTTTTTACAGCTGATACCCAGAGGTTGCACTCACAGCAGTTCAATCTTGTTGTTAATACACCCGGACCTTTCGATAGCAGATTGAGAGTCCCCTAGCAAAACTTAACCCTTTGATCCTCCAATCCAAAATCCCCCCCTAGACCTCGCGATCAAAGGAGGTCCAAACAACAATCTCGGTTTGCTAGTTCTCCCCGACCCGTTTTGAGTTAAGAAATCCGCTGACAGTCGGTTTTGTACCAAAAAATGAGAAGTTCAACCAGTTAATACTGCTGTCAGTGCCCAAATAGTCACCCATTCAACCAACAATAGAATTGATCACGAAAATTCAAATTAACCAGCTTACCTAGTTCTAACCGACCTGATTTGAGTTAACAAATCCGCAGGCAGTAGCCTTTATGAAAAAATGAAAGCAGTTTAAACAGTTCATGTTGTCGTCAGTGCCACAACAAACCTTCCCAACGACACACAACAAACTCAATCAAGAAAAATCAAAATAAGCAGCTTACTACCAATAGTATCCTGTTCTATCTCCCTTTGCAACGAGGTCGTTATCCCGATTCGACCATGTTTCTGTGAGGACAGCAGCAAACTACAAAATAGACACTATCCTGTTCTATATCGATCTGCGACGAGACAGAAGTTAACCCAGGGAAAAGCGTGGTCAGCTCGACCTCGAGCTGAAACCAATTCAGCTCAAGGTCGGCCTAAGCGGTGTATCGGAACAAGTGGACATAAACACCTTAGCTGAAGAAGACAATACTCAACTCACCAATCGGTGCACAATCTTGAGTGTGATTGAGATAACCCAGCGAGTCCTGTAGACGAAAAGAGAATATGAGCAATCTGGGCCTCAACAGATCTGCCCTTATGGGCAGTCCCCATGAAAAATGTATAAAACACTCGCGAAACGTACAACTCACCCAAGTTGCAGTATAATTTAGAAGGAAAATAGGGTCAAGATCGCTTCCCTACGAGGTACGAAGATGATTGACCAGACAGCGAGATGATCTTATTGCGCACTAAATCCTGCCTCATTGAAGAAAATAAGCAAAACCGGTGGAGCTCAGCGTCATCTCGATCTCTTGTTAAATCTGCTTCTTCTTCAGCTTGAGATTGGTATCCCCTTCTTCAGCAGGCCTTGAGTCGACAGCGCTTCAGCTCGAGGTCAACCTCCCCTCCACGACGCAGATCGACTTCAAGCTGAAAATCGACAATCCTGAGGTCGATCTCGGGGATGTATGCAACATCCACACAACTTACCACAAAGCTAGAAGGCCACCAAAGTAGGTCGCTTTTCGTACAATGTCAAAAGCAGAACAAGCGATCAACTGCGCATAACCAAATGAAACAAACAACCAGACAACACTTACTGGAGATTGTACTCCAACGAGATCAAATCAATATCAACCAACCTTCCGGACTGCTCTACGAAAAGACCTTCTCTCGGCGGCCAAACGTTTCCAGAGACAAATCAGAATGGACCGCGTTATATCGTTTTCGTACGAGGTCCAACGACAAGGTCGGTCCGGAATCCAGGAGAAGGTTTACTGAGGCTAAATCCTCGAAATCGAGGCCGTTATCGTTATTCTTATCCGGCTCGTACTGGGCTGCAATGTGAGGATCGTTGAGCGCTCCGGCTCGTACTGGGCTGCAATGTGAGGATCGTTGAGCGCTCAACAGGCTGACCAATCAAGACCAGTGTCACTTACAGCAAGTCTGTGACAGCTCTCAGCCCAGGTCTAACCCTCAGACAGTCAGGCATTAGCCAGACCCTCTAGTGCAACTTGAGGTAGAGTACTTCCCCTAGCCCTCCAAATGCGCCCCCACCGCAGACCTCGAGCTGAAAACAATTCAGCTCGAGGTCGATGCCACTCCCAACAGAGCCACATTAACCCTCGAGCCGAATAGTTTCCTGCTCGAGGTTGGCACAACCACCACAGACCTCGAGCTGAAAACGAATCAGCTCGAGGTCGATCTTGCTTCAAACAGAGTGACAGACAAACTTGAGCTGAATGGATTTCAGCTCAAGATCCACAGCCTCAACCACGGACCTCGAGCTGAAAACAATTCAGCTCGAGGTCCATGCCATTCCGTACATATTCACGGTCAACCTTGAATTGAATCGTCTTCAGCTCAAAGTTCTTATCACCACCACAGACCTCGAGCCGAAAACGATTCAGCTCGAGGTCAACCACACTTCTTACAGAGTCACAAACAACCTTGAGCTGAATCGTTTTCAGCTTGAGGTCAACACCCACTCGCACCACAGACCTCGAGCTGAAAGTGATTCAGCTCAAGGTCGAAGCCCCCACCACAGACCTCGAGCCGAAACAATTCAGCTCGAGGTCGATCCCTCATCATGCTGAGCCACAGGGATCCTCGGGCTGAGTAGTTTCCAGCTCGAGGCCGACTCCGTTTAGCCTTGCTCACCACGGACCTCAAGCTGAAAGAGATTCAGCTGGAGGTCAACCCCTGGAGTCACTGGGGACCTCGAGCTGAATCTCTTTCAACTCGAGGTCGACACCCCCTCCACAGACCTCGAGCTGAAAGAGATTCAGCTCAATGTCGATCCCTGTTCATCCATAGTCACAGGGGACCGGGTCGACCTCGAGTTGAAGGGGTTCATCTCAAGGTCAATCTCTCCTCATCCAGATTCATAGGGGACATCGAGCTGAATCTCTTTCAGCTCGATTTCGACACCCCCGCCACAGACTTCGAGTTGAAACCAATCAGCTCGAGGTCGATCTCTTCTCATATAGAGTCACAGGGGACCTCGAGCTGAATGGTTATCAGCTCGAGGTCGAATTACTCCTCATAGCCATACACCCTCGACCTCGGGTTGAAAGTGTTTCGAATCGAGGTCAATGCGGGCCGTGGCCCGGGCTTCTACGCTTTCTAATCTCACAACACACATAGAGCTTCGACCTCGAGCTGAAATGGTTTCAGCTCGAGGTCGATGCGGGCCGTGGGCCGGGCCGGGCCGGGCTGGGCTTAGCTGAATTGGTTTCGGCTCGAGGTCAATGTGGGCCGTGGGCCGGGCCGGGCCGGGATGGGCTTATTTGAACCTGAGGTAGAAAAAAGGTTGTAGAGTGATGTTGGCCTTTTGTGTCTGGGCTGGGATCTCCTGGGCCACAGGGCCCATTGAAGATGTGCTCTACACATTTGTGAGGGGCTGCAGGCCACTGGGGAATCCTGGAGAGCCTCCCAACAGGAGTTGAAGGAAGTTGAGGGGTGGCCCAGCTGTTCATAAATGTGTATATGCATTTATATCTGATGTGAGAAATGTAATGCAACTATTTCTTTGTTCAGTGGGTCATTGTGACTCTCCACATGTATTTATGACCAAACAGTGGGCTGAAAAATCATGCTCCAAGAAATAAGAAATACAGTGTGTCCTGTTTTACAGGTTCTACAGATGTCTTACTAAATGGTGATGAATTATAAAGCAGAATATTCAATCAAATCACTCTTCCTCAGATTATATCTGATTAAACATTTCAGTGTCACATGTTGCTTCATGTGGATTGTGTTATTTGCTGACTACATCATATTTATAAATCTCCCACAAGTACATATATTTCAAATACTCATAAGAAATAAATACAGTCAAACACCAAGACAATAAGTAAACAATTTCATGTACTTTGGTGATAATGAGGGACAAGAAAGGAAGACTATCAATCAAGAATATTGGCTGATCTTTTACCAGAGCAAGCTGTGCTTGTTTAATCACATTTATCCTATAATGATACTTTGTTTCTTCTTTTTCTGAGAGGAAAGTTGAAAGGATCCTGTACAAATCACGGCCAAACAAAACAGCCCTGAGGTAAATATTTTCTGCAAATTATTTGAACTGTCCTATTCATTACAAGTGATACAAAATCAAGACAATGAAACGCAAAGAGTGAAGGTCACAGGGGAAATAACACCAAAAATGGGCAGGTACAAACAGTATGAATGGGAGAAGACCCCCACACCTTTCTGAAAGAGCTGAAGCTCTGCAGTTCTAACAGAAAATCAAACAGGTTATTTTTGATGTCTGTGTTTCACAAGAACTTGGCTGTGGTTTGTACAAGTATTTATTTGCTATACTTCCAAGTAATCACCTGTGGTTTGATGAGTAATTGTCTACCAATATTATTGGTAGCATGTTTGAAGCAACAGACGTGGGATTGGAATAATGGATACATTTCAATGATGAATAATAATTAAAGGCAGATATATTTCCTGAAGAAGAGGATGTGGGGTTGCAAGAATTACAATGATAAATACAATGAAGGATAAGGAATGAAGACAACCCACAAACAAAACAATAATGCTATCAAAAAATGAAAAGATTCACATATAACGGTGAGATGACATAGTTGATTGGGCAATCCATGTGCCCGTGTATCAACAAAGAAACGCTGCTACAACAAAATAGAGCTACACCCTCTTTTTACAAGTATTTATCTGGGGTGGAGACAAGCACTTGTCTGTGATTCTCAGAAGTACTTCTGTGTGAGTTTTACAATTACTTGTCTCTGATTTTCACAAGTGCTTGTCTGCAAATTAATGTAAATTCATTATCTTCTATAAACATGTTCATTCACACAAGGCTTACAGTCAATACAGCTCATGTAATAATAAATACTACCAGAAAAAAAAAGGGTAGGGCAGCATAAAGAAACAAGAATTTCTAACCAGGGAGAAATTTGCTGCTTTCTTTGGGTTAACAAGTACTGTTTGTGCTTTGTTGTTGTTTGTGCAAGTGATGATTATCTATAAACGCAAACTGGATAATATGCAATAAATTTTTGAAGCAACACATGAAGGATTGACATGGATAAATTCATACATTTCAATCAGAAAGAAAGCAAATCACAGACAGGCATGACAAGAAGAAAAGGCAGTCATACTTGTTTAAAGCAGTCAATGTTGGATTGTCAGGATTAAAGTGATAAACATCAATGAAGAACAAAAGATGAACATGACCAACAGAGGAGATTAGCAAGAGAGAAAATTGATTGAGTAGATCCACTGGTTGTCAGCCACAGAGTACATGTCACAGTACCTTTCATGTACCAAGTAACTGCAACACCTGTACTTATGTACATAAGTACTTATCCATAATGTTGATTACCTTTACCTCTTGTTATCTTATTATTATCATTAACTTATCTTATCTTATTTATCTTACATTTATCTTATCTGTTAATTACTTATCTATTTAAATACATACCTGTGTTCTACATAAGTAATTATCACTTACCTTTCACTCCCTTGTCCGTGAAATACCTGTACCACAAGTTATCCCTCTGCTACAGTATTTTCACGGTCAAATATTATTACAAATAAATATGTACATGTATTAAATAGTAAGTATTAAGTGTCAATAGAATTAATACATTCAATACATGCACAGATCACAATTATGACTACATTATTAGAGGATCTGTTAAGTACACATCAAGAGCAACTAGTACATTGATCAACTAGTACACAATTATGATGTCACTTACAGATCATGACAAATAATGATCAGTCACTCAATTGATGTGCTCATTCTCCTGGCCAAAGCTCCCTTGATTCTGAGCGCTCATTCTTTCCCCCCTTCAGTATTCTGGAACTTATAATCCGTGCCACTTCCACTGATTAATCCCCAGAATATTCAGACACCAGTTAAACCAGTTAACATTTATATTGATACAGTACCCGTAACCAACATAAATCTTGTCTACATTTATTGTTCTTAAGCTTCAGTACTCTTACTCAACTTATCCACAGTATTCTTAGCCTTGCTGAATATTCCCATCAACAATACCTGTTAATCTTCAACTAATTTTGTTAAAGCTTAATAAGTATTGTTAGCCCATTCCCTTTGGGGAATAACCAAATCAATCCCAGGTGAGTCTTAGTACCCTGGATGCCTATTAATACCTTGTATTGATCCGGATGCGCTGTTGATAGCAAGCCTCTCAGTAAAGACCATACTGATAGAGTGAAACCTCCTCTTTACAGGACTGGTATTAATCACCCACTACCTAACACTCACCACGCTCAAAAACTTCAGTCAACTCATAGTAACAACCTTTTTACTATTAAATACTCAGGTTAGTTACCCAGAGGCTGACAATTGGGGGTCTGGCCTAATTGGAATTCCGTGACTAACATATCTCCGTGCTTCTTTTTACCTTTTGTCCCCAAAACATTTACTACTAACAATGGCCTTCTGAAGAACAAATGCCGGAAGTTTTGCCATTTATTAGACAAATAGATAGTACAATTGCAGAAGAAGCTAGTAGATATTACCACAACCACCCGGATAACATTACAGTTATTGAAAGAGTAGAAAAAGTGAAAGTTACAGAAGCAGAAGATAGATTCTGGAACTACATAGAAACTAAGCGCTACCATTGTACCCTTCATTCTACCTATTCCCCTGAATACATCCTCATAAATCTTGTAGAAGAAGACGAGTCTATCATAGAAAAAACAGTAGAAACAAACAGGAATAACTTCTTTACAGCGTTAGAAGAAACCCCTAAATATAGAACTCTTCCTACTAACATCTTGTCTAGAACTGTCCGCTACTACACTATTCCACCTTTCACTGCTTGTTCTCCGCCTCAACCCAAC